GGCCACAAAATCTGGGACTGGAACCAGTCAGCCATATGGGAGACTAGACTAATGCCCTTAACCACCATGCCATCTGCCAGCCACCCATTGGCAGTTTTTAAAAGAAGGACTTGAAATTCTTTAAAAAAAAAAAAAAAGAATTATTTTATTTAACTTTATTTATTTATTTTAATTTGACCAGGGAGAGACAGAGAGAGAAAGAGAAAGCAAGCCGCCAGGTCCGGGCTTCGAACCGCGGTCAGCCATGTGGGAGTCCAGTGTCCCTAACCACCACACCACCCACCGGCCCCAAGGACTTGAAATTCTTGATATGTCTTAAAGGGTTCATTCTATGATTAACTCTCAAATAATCATAAATAAATGGTATTCTATGTGAGACCTTAAGTTGGTTCGTTTTTGCCATAATTTTAGAATAGGCAAGATGTTTGCAAATTAATTGGAAATTCGAGATTTCTGTGATGCCTACCTTGCAAAATTAATTCTTGCTGTAACTGAACAAAATTGACCAGGTAATTGTGTGAAATTTAGCTTTAGCTGTATATTTCATTTGTGCTTAATTTCCCCCCTCAGAATAATAATTAAGTTAGATGATTTTTTTTAATCTTTCAATTTTATGACTTTTGTACATAAATAATACCCAATTTTTTTTCTAAACTTTTTTTTGTAGTGCTCACATGGTCTTCTGAAGAAGCCATGGGTAGCTGTTGTAGCTGTCCAGATAAAGACACTGTCCCAGATAACCATCGGAACAAGTTTAAGGTCAGTAAAACTGATTGAGTTACATATCTCTGACTACTAGGATGTACTTCTTTTACTTCATTTAATATATCTTTTTTTTGGGGGGAGAGGTTTTTACTATAGGGCGCATGCGCTTGCCAGAAAGACAGAGAAATACAGAGGGCAGAAAATGGGAAATCACTCCACAGGGGGGATGGCCACACCGCAGTCCCTTCTCCAGTCTCCTCTTGGGATTTTGGGCACACATGCACATGCACCTGGAGTGAGTTTAAGCCACTGGGTCCGGGAACCGCAGTCGGCTACATGGGAGTCCAGCCACATGGCCATTACACCAGCTGCTGGTCTTTTTTCTTTAAATGATTCATTTATTTAACTTTATTTATTTATTTTATTTTGACCAGAGAGGGAGAGGGAGGGAGGGAGGGAGGGAGGGAGGGAGGAGAGAGAGAGAGAGAGAGAGAAAGAAAGTGAGAAAGTGAGAAAGTAAGCCTCTAGGTCCAGGACTTGAACCACAGTTGGCCGTGTAGGAGTCCAGCTCCTTTAATTACTCCATCTGATGGCCCACTTCATTTAATATACCTTTTTTTTTTTTTTGGAGGTTTTTGCTACAGGGCACGTGCGCTCGCCAGGAAGACAGAGAGAGACAGAGAGATAGAAAGTAAGAAATCACCCCCCAGGGGGATGGCCACACCGCAATCCCTTCTCCTCCATTCTCCTCTTGGGACCTTGGGTACGCATTCACACACTCCCTGTGTGAGTTTGAGCCATCGGGTCCAGGACTCGAACCACGGTCGGCTACATGGGAGTTCAGCAACATAGCCATTACGCTAACTGCTGGTCCCTCATTTAATATATCTTTACTCTTCACTTTTATAATATTATCAGACTCTCTTATTTCTCTTTTTTTTACTATTCTGCCTTTGTGTGTGAGAGATTGTTTTGTTTTGTTTTGTTTTGTTTTGTTTTGAGAGAGATTTTTGCTATAGGGCATGTGTGTTCGCCAAAGGAGAGAGACAGCAAGAAATCACTCCCTGGGGAGGGGATGGCCATGCCACAGTCCCTTCTCCTCCATTCTCCTCTTGGGATCTTGGGCAGCCACACGTATCCACCCAGCGTGAGTTTTAAACCACCAGGTCCAGGACTTAAACTGCAGTCGTGTATGTGGGAGTCCAGCAATGTAACCATTGCACCATCTGCTGGTCCTGCCTTTGCTTGTTTTAATCAATGATAGCATTGTGTTGACTGACAGTTTGGAATTCTTTTACTTTTGTATTGGCCCTGTGTATCCAGTCAGCCACACAGTTCTGGTACCACTGTCTTTAAAACACCATTTTACAGTGTACATTTTACAGTTTACAAGGACGTTTTGTACTCATCCCCACCTTTCCACCATTATTTTCATGTGTGCCTGGATGATTTGTTAACTGGACTCTTACCTCCCCTCACCTTGCAATTCATCCTATAGCACCTTAAATTAATCTTCTCTTCCATCGTTCACTGGCCTGTTTGCTAAAACGTCTATGGTGTTCTATTACCTATAGGCTAAATGTTCCTATAGTCAGTCAGCGTCTTGAAATCTGACCTCAGTCTCCTGTACATTGTAGCTTCAGGATCCGACAAATCTAGGTGTGAGTCACAACCCTGTTAGCTTTGTGAGTTTGAGCAAGTTACATTATTACTAAGTCTTAATTTCATTTTTGTACAGTAGAGACCTGTAGTCTAGGATCGTTATGAGGATTAAATGAGAACAATACATGCTAAAAACTTTGCTTGGTCGTGGGGAATAGTAACTTCTCTGTAAATGTTATCAATTACACTTAGTCTGGCCATTCTCTGAAGCTTAGCAGTGTGAGACCTTTCCTTGCATGAACTCTGGGCTGATCTTATTTTGGTTTCTCTAAAAAGTATCATCTCTATTCTACTTTAGCATTACTTCTAAATGATGTGTCCTCCATCCCCTGAGCCACTAGATTTTTACTTGCATTTGATTTTTCTTTTTTAAGAATTATTTTGTCTAACTTTATTTATTTATTTATTTATTTATTTATTTTTGATTTGGTCAGCGAGGGACAGAGAGAGAAAGAGAGAGGGAAAGTGAGAAAGCAAGCTGCCAGGTTCGGGACTCAAACTGTGGTCATCCATGTGGGAGTCCAGGCCGTTAACCACCATACTGCCTGCCGGCCCTGTATTTGATTTTTCTGTCTAAACTTAATTATAACTGAGGTCATCTAAAGTCCCTCTTTCTCTCATGTGACAATTTCTTGAACAACCTTAGGCCATAGACCTGCCTTCTCTAGCTTCTATTGCATTCCTTTGTCAGTCAGTCATACACAGTACTGTGGTGTTGACTTTGTGTTTTTATATCTTGTCTTTGTGGTGGGAATATAAATTCTTTATGGATATGAACTGGACATTATACTGCCACATAGTTCATACCCTGCTTACACATTGGTTGATGAATGAACTAACAAATGACCAGTTAACTGACCTATCAGCAGTAGTGCATTTCCGCAGGGAATTGATGAGATACTTGAACAATTGTCACTTGCTTTTTTAGGTCATTAATGTGGATGATGATGGGAATGAGTTAGGTTCTGGCATAATGGAACTTACAGACACAGAACTGATTTTATATACCCGCAAACGTGACTCGGTAAAATGGCACTACCTCTGCCTACGGCGCTATGGCTATGACTCAAATCTCTTTTCTTTTGAAAGTGGTCGAAGGTGTCAAACTGGACAAGGTAAGTAGAGCCTTTGTTTTCTCTAATTACTATATTTGAAATTTAATTTTTTTCCAGTTATTCTGTATACAGGGTTTTAAATACCTTCTTTTTCTCCCAAGAGAAAAATCCCCAAATAAGTGAATTATTAAGAAAAGATATAGGGACCAGCAGTTAGCGTAATGACTGTTGCTGAACTCCCATGTGGTCGACCATGGTTCGAGTCCCGGACCCGGTGGCTTAAACTCATGCAGGGCACGTGTGTGTGCGTGCTCAAGATCCCGAGAGGAGAATGGAGAAGAAGAGATTGCCGTGTGGCCATCCCCCCGGGGGGTGATTTCTCACTTGCTGTCTCTGTCTCTTTCTGTCTTCCTGGAGCCTATAGCAAAAACCTCTCCAAAAAAAAAAGATACAGTAAACTATACATTCATTTATCCAGCATGTATTACACACATTTTCTTTGAAGGGGAGTGGTAATATGTATCTTTCAGGATAATTTGTAATAAGTAATAATTAAACAAGGTAACATTGATCACCTTGGTAATGGTGAGTTTGGCTCCCCCTGCTGTTAAATAGCAGCAGTAAGTCTGTTTTTGTTTGCTTTGTTTTTGGATCATCTCTCTTAGACAAATGAAAATTATTCTGTAAACTTTTCTTTTAGGTCTGTGCTTTGAAACAGAGACTACTGTTAATTTACCAGATGTTTATTTAAAAAGTCCTTTTTTGCTGTTGGTGCATAGAATGCTTACTTTATGATTTTGTTCTTTGGCAGGTGTTCCCATAGCTTTTTTTTGTGTGTGTGTGTTCCCATAGCTTTTTTTTTTTTGAGAGAGAGAGATTTTTGCTATAGGGCATGTGTGCTCACCAGAGAGACAGAGAGATAGAAAGCAAGAAATTACCCCCTGGGTGGATGGCCATGCCACAATCCTTTCTCCTCCGTTCTCCTCTTGGGATTTTGGGCACACACGCACACACACATGCCCAGCCTGAGTTTAAGCCTCCAGGTCCAGTACTCCAATCACTGTCAACTACGTGGGAGTCCAACAATGCAACCATTACAGCTTCTGCTGGTCCCATGTTCCCATAGCTTTTTAAATGACATGGTAACCAATTTTCCCTTTGTGTTTACATTTGTAGGAATCTTTGCCTTTAAGTGTGCCCGTGCAGAAGAATTATTTAACATGCTGCAAGAGATTATGCAAAATAATAGTATAAATGTGGTGGAAGAGCCAGTCGTAGAAAGGAATAATCATCAGACAGAATTGGAAGTTCCCAGAACACCTCGAACACCTACAAGTAAGTATCTGTTATCTATACCATTTTGTGTACCATTTCTGTACTAGAATTTACCCCTGCTTAACAGAAACCTAATAGTTTTCAATTTTTAAAAACTTAGCTATAGGGACCAGCAGTTGGTGTAATGGCTATGTTGCTAGACTCCCATGTAGTCGACAGTGGTTTGAGTCCCGGACTTGGTGGCTTAAACTCACACCGGGCATGTGTGTGTGCGTGCCCAAGATCCCAAGAGGAGAATGGAAGAGAAGGGATTGCGGTGTAGCCATTCCCCCCAGCGGGGGTAGGGCGGGGTGTGATTTCTTGCTTCCTGTCTCTCTCTCTCTCTCTCTCTTTCTGGTGAGTTCATATGCCTTATAACAAAAACGTCTCCCCAAAAAAGAAAAATTAAAAACTTATAGTTATAAACATTAAAATAAATTTTAAAAAAATTGCCAGAGGGCATGCACACTCATGGGGGGTGGGCAGGGAAGGTTTGAGAAAGCATCCCTTGGGAACCAGCAGTTAGCGTAATGGCTGTGTCGCTGGACTCCCACGTATTCGACCGCGGTTCGCGTCCTGGACTCAGTGGCTTAAAACTCACGCTGGGCGCGTGTGCGTGTGTGTGTCCAAGATCCTGAGAGGAGAATGGAGGAGAAGGGATTGCGGCGTGACCATCCCCCCTGGGGGGTGATTTCTCGCTTTCTGTCTCTAAGTTTCTCTCTGTCTGTCTGGCAAGCGCACGCGCCCTATAGCGAAAAAACCTCTCCAAAAAAAAAAAAAGAAAGAAAGAAAGCATTCCTCATGGGGGATGGACACGCACACCCATGCACCCAGCATATTTCTCAAGACATAGATCCATTTTAACCACCGTATGACTGGGTAGCCTCATTTTAAATATTTTAAATATTTTGCATGAAAACATTAAATATTCCAGGCCAGTCCATGGCCTGGTGGTTAAAGTGGCTGACTGTGCATTTACAGTCCTGGACCAGGTGGTTTGACAAACACGGTGCACATGTGCCGAAAATCCCAAAAGGAGGGAAATGTAGAAAATTGATTGCAGAGTGACCACCCAGGGGTGCTTTCTCGCTTCTCTCTCTTTCTTTGTCTCTTTCTCTCCAGTGAGTGGAAATACCTCTGACAAAATTTTTTAGAAGTTTAAGCAAAGAAAACATTAATTATTTTATATTTTCTAAAATAATAAAGAGATTCTTTGTATTCTCATTTCTGATGTCTTGCTCAAAATTTTCCTTAATGCTTTCAGTGTAGATAAGATTCTCATTCTTTTTTTTTTCTCTGCCCTACCCCATATTTTGCCTTTCCACTTAAACCAATACACAAAAACTCAGCTCCGGGTTTCGCTGCTCAGAATTTACCTAATGGCTATCCTCGATATCCCTCATTTGGAGATGCTTCATCCCATCCTTCAAGCAGACATCCTTCTGTGGGAAGTGCCCGCTTGCCTTCAGTAGGTGAAGAATCTACACACCCTTTGCTTGTGGCTGAGGAGCAAGTAAGTTTGTGCTGTTCTTATTGCTTGTGTACAGTTTAAGTGTTACTGTGCTAACACTTGAAGATTTTATTCAGTTTGAATGTAAGCTTTCACAGTTTGTAAATTACTTTTGTAGTGAACTGTCAGAGGAAATACAACATATATTTATGGATATGTGCTAAAATATATGCAGGGGTTGGGTAAAACTTAGCATTACAGTTGTCTGTGGGTTCTCAAAAGAGATTTGCCTATTGATATAGAAAGACATACACTGGCCCAGCTGCAATAGTACACCCTGGTAGAAATTCTTGCCTGGTGGGCTGGGGCCACATAGGAGACCCAGGTTCGTTTTTCTGCCTACTGGAGGCCCAGACCCAAGGCCTTCCTACTCTAAAAAAGCCAGGTTGGTGACAGACACCTAGTCTCAGCTATTCAGGATGCTGGGATAAGAACATCTTGACACAGTGGGACCATGTCTGGAAAAGGGATGGAGCGGGGGAGGTGGGAGAGTGAGAAAGAAAGACCAATTCTCTTGACGATCGCCTCTGGTGGAATAAGAAGATGTACTGCTTTTCGTAGTTTAGTATTTATAATCAGTGAACTACTCATAGCAAGGTAGACTTTGTTAGCAATGTTATTATGGAAACTGTTTAGTGTTCCTCACTAATAGTTTCTTTTGCAGTATGGTATCTGGAGGAACATTGTGTCTTTATTAGTTATCCTCATCTTTTGTAAACCATATATCATTAAGACTTTTTTTTTTCTTTCCTAAGTTGATCATGAGAGAGAGAGAAAGAGGGATAGAAAGAGTTAGAAATCAGCCCCAGTGAGAATGGCCATGCTGGAATCCTTCTTTTCCATTCTTCTCTAGGAACGTTTTTTATAATTATTTTATTTAACTTCATTTATTTTAATTTGACCAAAGAGGGACAGAGTGGGGGGGGGGGGAGTGAGAAAGCAAGCCTCCAGGTCTGGAACTTGAACTGCTATCAGCCATGTGGGATTCCAGCACCCTTAACCACTCCATCACCTGCCAGCCCCTCTCAAGGGATTTTGAACATATGCAAGCACATGTACTTGGTGTGTTTTTCAAGCTACTGGATCCAGAATTCAGACTGCTCAGTGGGCCATGTAGGATCCAGCCACCAACTTCACTCTATCAGTTGATTCCTTTCAGTGTTTTTAAAATCAATTTCATTGTGTTTTCTTACATAGTAATGACCTTTCATATTATTTGCTGTAATTACGTTTTTCCTAGTTTGTATTTTATAATTAGATTTCTTTTAAAGGATTATTTATTTAATTTTATTTATTTATTTTTCCTCTTAATTTACTATAGGTAATCACCAAAGAGAGAGAGAGAAAGTAAGAAAGCAAGTCACCAGGTCCAGGACTCTAACCATGGTTGGCCATGTGGGAGATGAGCCACCCAAACCACCGTACCACCTGCTGCCCTCCATAATTGAAAATTTTTTTGTTTTTAAGAATTATTTTATTTAACTTTATTTATTTTAATTTGACCAGAGAGGGACAGAATGTGTAGGGAGTGAGAAAATGAGAAAGCAAGCTGCCAGATCCAATATTCAAACTGCAATTGGCCATGTGGGAGTCCAGTGCCCTTAGCCACCACACCACCTGCTGGCCCCCATCATTGCATCTTTTAAATTTTATGTATAGGGACCAGAACACGGCATGGTGGTTAAGGTACTGGGCTCCCACATGGCCGACTGCAATTCTAGTCCCAGACCTAGTAGATTGTTGTCTCACTTTCTCTCTCTCTCTTGCCCTCTGTTGAGAACATGTGCCTTATATCAAATTAAAAGCAAAATAATAATAATAATAAATAAAATTAAATGTGGGGGCTGGCAGGTGGTGTGGAGGTTAAGGGCACTGGACTCCCTCATGGACTCCCACAGTTCAGGTCCCAGACTTGGCAGCTTGCTTTCTTACTTTCCTTCTTTTGCTCTTCCTTCTGGTAAAATTAAAATAAGTAAATCAATAAATAAAAAGTGAAATAAAATAATTCTTTAAAAAGTTAAGTATTTTTAAATCTTTATTTATTTTAATTTGACCAGAGAGGGACAGAGTGAGAAAAAGAGAGAGAGAGAGAGAGAGAGAGAGAGAGATAGAGCGGGAAAGAGAGAGAGCAAGCCCATGCATGCACATTTATGCATTAACTTTTTTTTTTTTTAATTTTTGGCAGAATGTGCATGCACCTATGAGAGAGAGAGAGACACACACCACACACACACACACACACACACACACACACACACACACAGAGAAAGTACTCACCAGTGGGGTAGTAACACTATAATCCCTTCTCCATTCTCCTCTCTGGCTTCTGGGCATGTCTACACAAATATTGAACATGTTATTTGTGTATTTTTCAGTGCTCATATTAAATCTAGTAGGGTATAGGTCTTTGTGTAGTCAGATCACCAGTAAATAATGATATGTTTGTCTTTCTTTTCAATAGTTGTTGCCTCTCATTGAATTGCGTTTTAATGCATTGATAAGGAATGTCTAGGACAACATCAAAATGATAATCCCTATTTTCTTCTTGACTTTTTTTTTTTTTTTGGAGAGATCTTTGCTGTAGGGCACATGCACTCGCCCGAAAGACAGAGAGACAGAGAGATAGAAAGCAAGAAATCCCCCCCCCCCCAGGGGGGTTACGCACCCGGTGTGAGTTTAAGCCACCGGATCCAGGACTCGAACCACGGTCGACTACATGGGAGTTCAACGACATAGCCATTACGCTAACTGCTGGTCCCTCTTCCTGACTTTTTTTGTAGACTATGTCCTAAGTTTTACCATCAAGTATAATGCTGCATGTTATCTGAAAGTAGTTATTCTCTTATCAAATTAGCAAGACATTTCTGCATTTCTTCTGTTCTTCCTACCTTTTTATTACGTATTTAGGTTCAGAAGCTTTAATAAAGAGTACATTAAGAGGGAAATTTAGCCATTGAACTTAACTGATACAGTCAGGCATCTTTTGTGTGTCTTATTGTAAGTTACTGATTCACTTTTTGTTTTAGGTACATACCTATGTCAACACTACAGGTGTGCAAGAAGAGCGGAAAAACCGCACAAGTGTGCATGTCCCATTGGAGGCAAGGGTTTCTAATGCTGAAAGCAACACACCAAAAGAAGAGCCAAGTAGTATTGAGGACAGGGACCCTCAGATTCTTCTTGAACCCGAAGGAGTCAAATTTGTTTTAGGACCAACCCCAGTTCAAAAACAATTAATGGAAAAAGAGAAACTGGAGCAACTTGGAAGAGATCAAGTTAGTGGAAGTGGTGCAAATAACACAGAATGGGACACTGGCTATGACAGTGATGAACGAAGAGATGCACCCTCTGTTAACAAACTGGTGTATGAAAATATAAATGGGCTATCTATCCCTAGTGCCTCAGGGGTCAGGAGAGGTCGTCTGACATCCACCAGTACCTCAGATACCCAGAATATCAACAACTCAGCTCAGAGAAGAACTGCATTATTAAACTATGAAAATTTACCATCTTTGCCTCCTGTTTGGGAAGCCCGCAAGCTAAGTAGGGATGAAGATGACAATTTAGGACCAAAGACCCCATCTCTAAATGGCTACCACAATAATCTAGACCCAATGCATAACTATGTAAATACAGAGAATGTAACCGTGCCGGCAAGTGCTCACAAAATAGAATATTCAAGGCGTCGGGACTGTACACCAACAGTCTTTAACTTTGATATCAGACGCCCAAGCTTAGAACACAGGCAGCTCAATTACATACAAGTTGACTTGGAAGGTGGTAGTGACTCTGACAACCCTCAGACTCCGAAAACGCCTACCACTCCCCTTCCACAAACCCCTACCAGGCGCACAGAGCTGTATGCTGTGATAGACATCGAGAGAACTGCTGCTATGTCGAATTTGCAGAAAGCGCTGCCACGAGACGATGGTACATCTAGGAAAACTAGACACAATAGTACTGACCTGCCCATGTGAGCCTGGAAGTCATTATGTTATTTGCACCTTTGTGAAGTTTTTAAAAATGAAGATGCAAGTGCTTCATTTTCATTTCTAAACACTAACTCCTTTTATATAGACTGATAAAAAATTTTTTCTGAATATTTCATGTGCATCTTTAACTAAAGGGAATTAATGTAGAGCAGGTACTCCTTAAAGAACACTAATTTCATTATATACTACTCATTATTGTACAGCAGCATTCCCATTTTCACAGTGCCTATTTAAAATGAGAGTTGAAGTGAATGACATGCTGGTTGAATTTTATCAATACTCTGGACTTATACTTATCTTTCATGTCTAAGTCATGGTTAGCATTTAAAACTTTTTATAAAGCCTCTTGATAATGTGCATTGCTAACAGATAACTCTAGGCTTTGAAAGTAATATTCGTAGATTCACTGTTCACGGTATGTGGCCTCCAGCATGTGACGTGAGGAATCCTTCATTTCACAAATTAAAGGCTTTTTGACTTGAGCCAAAACATATATAAAGGAAGGAGAAGTATCACACCTCCCTTTTTACCAGTCAGCCTCTTTGCCTTCAGTGTTACTAGAGAGTCTGTGACCCTGAGTATGGTTTCTGTTGGTCTGTGCAAAGGCAGGAAGGAGACAAGATTTTTCTGTTTACTCATCTCATGATGTCACTTGAACGGCATGTCTAGATATTTGACTCAGAATTAAGATAGGCTCAAGAATTAGTCTCAGGTCACTTTACCCAAAAACATTTGAAAAGCTGAACCACAATTTCTTTAGAGTTTCTTTCCTGTAGATTATTGACCACACATTGTTTTTTGGAGGCATTTGTGCCATTAGATTTCCATTTACCGTCTGTTTTTTCTTTTGGTGTTTGGGATGTCTTATTTTGTTGCTTAATGTCTTTTTCCATTTGAAATGTTTGAGTTTGTATATAGTTTTGAAATTGGATTATGTGTTCATTATTGTTTAGTTTGCTTTTTTGTCAAATTATGGTTTTGAAGGTTCATTTGGAACTGTTATTCTGTAACAGGGTTGCCCTTGTCCAGTATTTATTTATATGCTGTTTACTTTTCAAGTTGATAAAAACATTCTCTCAATTTTAAATTTCACTTGTGTCCATAGGTGATCTCTTTAGCAGCTGAGAAACAAAAAGGAAGATACTTTGAACACACACAGTTCCCTAAAGGGACTTAGATTTCTCTTTGGGCACTCTCCCAGCACTTTAGCAGTGATTCCCCCACATGGTTGCCGCTGTGCTCGGCCCACTCCAGTGCTCTTCAACTCTGCTGTCCTTTCAGCTCGTAGCTGGATCTTTGATTATCCCTTGATTTCAGTGGAATGTTAATATTGATGCCAGCATAGCAGGTACAGTGGAAGTCTTGTAGCAGTGAGATTGTGTCATAATTTAGGATTTAAAATGAATTTCAGTTTCGGTAAACTGATGGGAGTCCATATATCAAACTCTTGGAAAAGTAATAATGTTCCAATTTCCCAAACACTAGAGGATATAAGAGAAGGTAGGGTGGAAATAAGGTTAGATAACCTTGCAAAATATTTTAGCATTTTCTCTAATATGAGGAAGTTAAGATTATGATCTAGGTCTACCAGATGTAAACAAGATTAATTTAGCATGAAAAAGCTTCAGTCAGAGTGGATCCAAGCTGTTCAGTTAAAAACCCTAATCCTAGGACAATAGAGTGGGACCATTATAAAGAAAATTAATTATTAAAGGTGTCTTTATAATTTTCAGTGCCATTGGTTTATGTGCATAGCAGATTTTTCTTGTTTTCTTTTTCTTTTGAACTTGGTGCTTACTAAGTGTTCACTGTTCTTTTGAAAAGAGCAGTGGTAAAGATGTGCAGTTTCCACGATGATACAGTTTTCATTTGTAATATGTTGTTCCATTTTTCCTTCCTTCGGAGTAGAATGTTAATCGTGCCAAATTTACGTAATGGTTTTGTGATGTGGAGTAGGACTTACAGTGGAACCAGAGCACAGGGTGTTCTCTGAAATAGCAGTCAAGGCAGGACATTAGTCTCCAAATGAAAGGGCTGATCTATTTATTCATTTTGGAGATTGGATACTTTATTCTTTCTTTCCCACATCCTTTTCAATTTTTAATCCAGATTCTAATTAGTTTTATATTTTTTAGGTAATAATCGTTACAGTTTATGCTTTAAATACTATGTGCTTTAAAATGAGCATTGGACCAATCGTCTGCTAAGAATTTGATTTTAGGTACTATATGAGTGTTAGGAAGATATTTACAATTGGTGTTAATTTCTAGGTGTTTTCTGGAAATCACCTGTGTTCTTATTAAATAAAATAATTTAGAATACTACTTGTCCTGTGCGGTAGTCTAGTGATGGGCATTAAGCTCTGTCCTGGAAGAATGTACCTATTACTAGGTATACTTTAGAATGAGCTATTTTATTGTCATACAGTTGTGGCCATGTGTCTCAGATTTTCTGAGAAAGACCTAATTTAGATACTCTGTTCTCAGACCATGTGATCCCACTTTTGTTTTGAAAATATAATCCTTGTTCATGTTTCCCCCAAGATAGAATCCTTTCTTATCCACACAGATGATTTATCCCAGACCAGGGTCGGAAACTGATATGGGTGATTAACTGTGTATTTTCTTAGTGTATTTTATTTCCCAGTTTCATTTTCTTTAAAACAATGAAAATATGGTGCCTTCCCTCCCTCCAGGAAGATTGGCAAATAGTTCCTTTTATTTACTGCTACTGTGGAGTGATGAGACATGCACTTTACTCTTGAAGACTCAGCAAAAAGCTTTTCACTTCTCAGTATATCCAGAATAGATCACATTTGGGACTTAAGAAAATTTGCCAAGCAATCTTTGTTTTTGTAGCTGTTAATGCTGACCACCCCCACCCCAGTTCAATGTTACAAGTCAAGCTAGTGTTTATCTCCCCACCCCATTTCCCCCAAATTTGTGGCACAGCGTATAAAAATGTACCTCAATAATGTTCTATTAAAAATGGGACAGGGGCCTTATGTTTTCATAATTTCCCAACAATGTGCCACCATATTTTTGCCTCAAGGTAAAGGTTTTAACAAGCTAATAAAAAGTACTTCCCGGTTCCCCTTGTGCTGTTCCTAACCCCAAATGCCCAAGTGTTGTGCAATGTGTAGCGTGTGCGTGTAAACATATGTCTTCTTGAAATAGACATACCATCAGAGACATCATTCAGAAGTAACCGATGTACTGGCATCTCATTCATATTCTGATATGTGAGGTATATGGTACTAATTACCTTTCCCTTGATACTTGCCAAATTTGAATAAAGGCATTGGTACGAAATTACAGACTGTATAGAAAAAGTTTTTGGCTTGAAAAATTAAGAAATATTTTATGACTTGCCACAATATACTCTGCCCAAACCAGCACCCTGTCTTCTTTTCTGTTTTCTACATCCTATTCCCCATCCCTACTTCCTCATCTTTTTGGGTATAACACCATTCTTTTGTAGCATCATGTAACTGCATTTCTTTGACAATTGGACAGTTGATAGCATGGAAACAGACTGGTATTAATAGTACAGTAGTCACCAGTGTGCCACCTTTGCATTAGTAAATGCAAATACACATTTTATAAAGGACAAACTTTGTGTTACGTTTTTATTTTCATTACATTGTAAAATATTGTAAGATTACTGTGTGTCCTAATTTGCATTATAAACGTTTTTCCTACATAAAGGCATAAATAATAGCAACTTTGTATAAAGGTAGCTTATTAGATTTTTAATTTTTTCTTTTATAAAAATAATTGTCTAACAGTGGGACTACCATTGCCAAATTGTATATGAAATATGAATTTTCCCCCCTATGGTTAATTTCTTTTATAAACATTCCGTATTTCTCTAATACAAGACATAAGTGATACTGTACTATGCATAAATTGTATTTTAATGCTGTTTCATATCAGCAACTGAAATTTTGGTTTGCATTTAGTATTGGCAAAATTTACCACTGTTGATTCAAATAAAACCTTGTTGTGTATGTAACAACATCGTTTGCCCTCTGTCCCTTCCCACCCTTGTTCTCTATTTCTCTCTATCAGTGCCAACTTCATACATTTTGTAGCATGGCAATAAAACATAACTTTTACACAGAGGCCACGCGTGGCTTTTTGGAGGAAGTGGAGATGGGAAGATTGCCCTCTGGTTGTCCTTTGCGGATGCCTCTCTTTGCCATATAAGCCATGTCATCAGGCACGAGAAGTTCTCTCATTTATGATGTAAACATGCTTTTAAGGACAAGTGTGAATGTGCTTTTAAGCTCAATTTTCGGCATAAAATAAGAACTAATTTTTTATCTTTGGGAAAGGCAGAGTTCTTGAAATACCATCAAATCCTTATTAACTGGAGTACTGAAAGACTATGCTAATAACTGAATTTAGTTCAACAAGGGCTCAGCAACACATCTTTCAAGTTCTTATTTACTGTAGAATATTACTGTACTTTACTATCCTAAAAATTATAATATGTAAATTACAGTTTAATCTTAGGTGATTTTGCATCCTGAAATGCCTTATTGTTGTCACTCTGGCATAAATATTCATGATGAGGTACTCAAGTTGATACTGGAAGCTGAGCTGACTATACACTGACCTTAAGTGTTTATGAGAAACTGCTTTGTTCAATAAAATGTGATCGGAGTTCTTATGGTCACTTTCCCCTTATTGCTGAAAGTAGATTGCAATAAAACCCCAATAAAAGTTTGGTTGGAGACCTTTTTAAAGTTTTACTGTATTTATATATCACATTTGAAACTTTATGGTAGACATTTCATTTCTTAGTCTGTCATCACCACCTTCACTTTATTTTTTACTTTTTTAGGATTTTCTCATAGGGTGCATGTGCTTGCCAAAGAGAAAGAAGAGAGAGGGAAAGTGACAACTCACTTCCTGGGGGGATAGCTATGTCACAGTCCCTTTCCCTTCGCTCTCCTCTCAGGATTCTGAGCACGCACCCATATTTGCCTGGTGTGCTGCTCAAGCTGCCAGCTCTGGGACTTGAACCGCCGTTGGCCATGTGGGAATCCAGTGACTTTAACCACCATGCCACCTGCTGGCCCCACCACCTCCATTTTAGAGGTGAACATATAAAGTTAAGGATTATGGATTGCATCAAAGGGAATAAAATTGTAAGTGTCTGACAGACTCTCACAGTTTTATCTGCATGGTACTCAAAGCAGTAGTTCCCAGCTCTCAGACCCCAAGTCTGTTTTTAACCACTGAGAGACATTGCTTATCCTAGTTGAGAAGGGCTTGGTAGAGGTTATTTAAACAGTGAAGGGGATAGCCGAAGTGATTGGGCACTTCCTTCATGCCTGGCACCAGGGAGCTCACACGTTGGCAATGTGTGGCAGAGACTGCATCTTCGAAACCTGGAGAATTGTTCTCAGAAATTAAAACTTTTTTGGATTATTACTATTATTATCTTTTGAGAGAGATTTTTGCTATAGGACGCGTGCGCTCACTGGAGAGACAAAGTGGGAAATTATCCCCCCACATCCCGCTGGGATAGCTACACTGCAGTCCTTTCTCCATTCTCCTCTCGGGATTTTGGGCATACACACGTGCCCAGCATGAGTTTCAAGCCTCCAGGTCTGGAACTTGAACTGCAGTTGGTTGGCCACGTTGGAGTTTATTGCCTTAACTACCACACTACCTGCAGGCACCCTTTGGATTATTTTTGTGTTTTCCCTTCAAAGTACTTTTGAGTACAGTAGCCACTGATACTGAATGAAAGAGCACAAACTAGACCCTGTGCAAATGAAGTTAGCAGTTCTTGGCCTCAAAAGAATGTGTAATTTAGAACAGCCCTTCCAATAGGATCAAGGCACTTGCCCTAGAGAATTAAGTCCTAAAGCATAGTGTACAATAAATTAACCTCTGATAACCTTTTTTGTGTGTGTGGGGTGGGGAGAGGTTTTTGCTATAGGGTGTGTGCGCTCGCGAGAAAGAAACAGAAAGCGAGAAATCACCCCCCAGGGGGGATAGCCAAGCCTCAATCCCTTCTCCATTCTCCTCTCGAGATCTTCGGCACACACGCACACATTCCGGCATGAGTTTAAGCCACCAGGTCTGGAACTCGAACCGCGGTCAACTACATGGGAGTCCAGCGACATAGCCATTATGCTAACTGCTGGTCCCACGTTTATTATTATCATTATTTTCCAATTTGACCAGAGAGAGAGAGAGAGAGAGAGAGAGAGAAAGTGAGAAGGCAAGCCACCAGTTCTGAGACCTGAACTGTAGACCTGAACCATGTAGGAGTACAACGCCTTTAACCACCATGCCACCTGCCGGCCTCTGAGGTCTTCCTTTTTAGTTTCCACATATTAGTGAGAACATGCATTATTTCTCTTTCTGGGCTTTGCTTGTTTCACTTAACATAATGCCCCCTAAGCTCTCCCATGTTATCTCAAATGACAGGATTTCATAAAAACAATTATATAGATGTTATAAATGATAGCCTTTCAGAGTCCCCTATTTAGTTGTGACATTTACAATAACCTAACAAAATGAAGCTCCACTCAAACACAGAAGTAGCCCTGTGTTTCTACTTTACCTCCCTATCTTCCATGTTGACACTCCTTCCTATGCAGCCATTGTATAAGCCAACACAGGGCCAGCTGGTGGGATTGCATCATGGCCATCTCCCATGGGGGAGGGGTGGGCTTTCTCACTCCCTATATCATTTTTTTTTTTTTATGAATTACTTTATTTAAATTTATTTATTTGTTTGTTTGTTTATTTATTTTAACTTGACCAGAGAGAGAGAGAAGGTGAGAAAGCAAGCTGCCAGGTCCTGGACCCAAACCACAGTTGGCCATCTGGGAGTCCAGTGCCCTTAACCACCATGCAACCTGCCAGCCCCTCTTTTTTTTTTTTTTTTAAGAATTATTTTATTTATTTAATTCCTTTCTTCCTTTCTTGCTTCTTTATTTTTTCACCAGAGAGGGACAGAACACATGAGAGAGAAGGAGAAAGTGAGAAAGCAAGTCGCCAGGTCTAGGACTCAAACCACAGTTAGCCATGTGGGAGTCCAGCGTCTTTAACCACCACGCCACCTGCCGGCCCCTCACTTTCCCTTTCTCATTCCCTTAGTCTCTGGTGAGTCCATGTGCCCTCTGGCAAATGAATGAATGAATGCCAGCCAACATTTACATGTTTATTATCTGCTGGGCACCATTCACATATTAATGCTTTTCATCCTTAGGAAACCCTAGGCAGTAATTTGCCCAGGTTCTACCCTGTAGAGCAAGGATTCTGAACCTGGGCTGGAGAGGTTTCGTTCTTTTTTTTTTTTTTTTGGAGAGGTTTTTGCTATAGGGCGCTTGCACTTGCCAGAAAGACAGAGACCGACAGAGAGAGGGAAGGAGCATGAGAAAGCACCCGGTATGGGGTATGGTCATAATCCCTTCTTTATTTCTCTATCCTGTCCGTATTTTAGACACACACACACACACACACACACACACACACACACACACACAGTACGACTAAGCTTCAAGCCAGTTTGCCATGTGGGATCCAGCACCCTTCACCCCTGGTACATGGGACTAGGCCAGTTTTATGTTCTTAAACACTTATTTCTCATTCTACTTATTTGATCTAAGCACTAAAAAGTCTTCTTTATCCATCTCTTTGCTCTCCTTTTGGGTGGTTCTTTTGCAGTGTATAATCATAATCCTGAGATAACTCCCCAGTTGATACCAGACATGTTTTTTACTTATTTACTGATTCAGAAAGATCATAGAGATACAAAGGCTTGAAGCAGTGCTACTCAAACATGCTCCCTGGACTGGTTTCTATCTGCAAGCTTTTGTCAGTGGTCTGGAAATACAAAATGGAGAGTATATGTTTCAAAAGGCACAGCAATTTGATGCATGCAACATCCAAACCTGTGATTTTGTATCTTCTGAAGTATTGGCCTGAGACGAATTAGAATTTTTTAAAAGGAGTCCTTCACCAATGTTTGAGAAGCACTGACCTACAAATCCCGGAAGACGAGTTCTTGCATGACATCTCGAGTTGCTGAGGAACCATCTGGACAGTATCTGCAGGTTTGTAGAAGGCACAGTATCCCCAAGACGGTCTGGAAATACCTGGCAAGAAAAAAAAAAGAATATCCACGGTAGGACTGTGCACACTGTAATAAATAGTTGCTAAATGATAATGATTGATAAATGGTTGTCATTAGAACCCTTGAGAGGTCTAGCCTAAGTGGCACAGCCAGTGGTGCACTGAACTGCAATTTCTGGAAGCTAGTGGGTCGTTGGGAAAGTCATGATGCA